GCACGCTTTGGCGGCAACAACAACAACGCACGAACAGAAACTCACCTCCCCGGGAGCAGTCGTCCGTGAACTTTTCATTGTCTTCCTTTCTTTTCTTGATGGCGTTCTCGCCTGCAACGAACACGACGGGCGGGGGGGGATAGGGTCAATCCAACCATGCACCAAGTTGCTCCCTCTTAAGGCATCGCTTTCTGTTCGATCGACTGTCAAATTTTCATTCCAAAAGTAAAATGCACGCTTTGGCGGCAACAACAACAACGCACAAACAGAAACTCACCTCCCCGGGAGCAGTCGTCCGTGAACTTTTCATTGTCTTCCTTTCTTTTCTTGATGGCGTTCTCGCCTGCGGAAGAACAAGACGGGCGGGGGGGGATAGGGTCAATCCAACCATGCACCAAGTTGCTCGCTCTTAAGCCATCGCGTTCTGTTCGATCGACTGTCAAATTTTCATTCCAAAAGTCAAATAGCACGCTTTGGCGGCGTTATACTCCGCGAGAAACATCATGCGGCTTGTAATGTGACAAGACAGGAAAACAACAACAGAGGTATCGGTACAGTAGCCCGCAACCTACACATACATGAATCAAACGAGTCACTCACCGCCCACAGAAGCATTCTTGACATGTGTGTGGTCCTCGCCGCACACGCACTTGCCGACCTCGGCACTGATGCACAAGCAGCCGTCGTGGGAGCACGAGTTTGCTGCCCGGAACACGAACAAAAACACGAAGAGAAGGGAAACAGACGATCTTATTGGTGGTGCTTTCAGGACACGGGGCGCGAGGCTCGCGGGGAAAGACAGGGGTGGAAGCTATCCTTCAACAAGCCTGAAACAACAACAACGACAACAACGGATACAAAGAGACAGCATCACCGTTCAGGGATGCGTTCGTAGTCGTGGTCCCGTCGGCCAGCTGTACCACGCAAGTGTTGTAGGCGGTGTTGGTGGCGGAGAGGTTGGCGGGGTTGACTTCTTCTTTTCTGGGGATGTGGAGACCAGTGGCATACTGGGGCGAGGCTGGGTCAACGTCTCCGACGGCAGCGAGCCGCCGTGCAAGATCCTTCTGCCTCTGGAGCCTCTGCTCCCGAGTCGCGCCCTCCGGCCAGGTGATGTCGACCAAAATGGTGAGGGTTCCCGCCGATCTCCCACCCGGAGCTGCCGGAGCGGCCACCACCTCGTGGACCATGCCGCTTGCGCGCCCGAACGCGACGCCGTCCCCGATGACGCACGTTGCGTGCCGCTTGGGAAACCTTCGTGTCGCCGCCCTGCCAGTTTTCTTGTCCAGCACCAAGGAGGCTTTTCGGGGGTGTTCGGCGGGATTTTCTCGCAGATGGAAGTTGAGTGAAGAACTCTCCTGGCCGGGACGCACGTGAGCGGTCATCAAGAGGCGCGATACCGCGGCTTTACCGCCGTCGGAATGGGAGTCTTGCACGCGGGAACCATCCCCGGGCATGAATCTATAGTTGCCCAGGCGCCCTCCCGCCCCCTCGATCGCGGTCTTGAGTGGACGCAGGCCGTCGTTGTCAAGTGCCGAGGCAGCTCCACCAGGAGGGCCCCTGCTCTGAGAGGACAAACCCTTGGTGCCCGAGTGCGTGTAGAAGGTGCCTGACTCGGATGGGTCGTTGTTCCAATCAGCTTCCAGTTTGTTGACGGACTTCGCTACCGCCCCAAAGTCGAAGCCGCGGACGTCGAAGTACTCCAGCCCGTCGAAGTGGGCATCGAAGTCCAGGGGGGCGCCGTGGTCATCGACGGCGTGCTCTCCAACCGGGTGGTTCTGGAGCCAGGCACCCCCTCCGCCCCTTTTTGTACACGGCTTCTTCCTCTTCTTCTTCGACGCGTAGGGCTGTTGTGTCGGAAAGAGGTGGCAATATGAAACACGTGGGGCGGAGCGAATGACCATGAAGCGAATACCAAACGACTTTAAACAGCACGACATCGATGTACAGTATTGCTATTAGATCGAACGTATAACCGGAACAAACCGTTGTTTTCATGTTCGGTAGTTGTATTTAACCCCACTAGTGACACTTACATAAAACGTACCATTGGTGAAGCAGGAGACTAAATTAAATGGAGAGGGTAGGGAGGGTTGTGGCGAGGGGGGGAAGGAGGTGGCAGTGATCTCATTTCAAGAAGCGTCGAAATGGAAACCCGATCCGAGGCGTGTTGTAGGATTCGGCGGAGGAATCGTTGCTAATTCGCACGTATAGTCTAGTACGATAAACACCAGTTGTTTCTATCCCCACCCCCCGCCCCCTCTCTCTAAAACGTATCCCCGGCCCCTCGAGATCGTGAGATGTGGCAAGCTTGCTTGTTCCTGTCTGTCTCCCGCCCGGATAATCAAAACAGAATAGCTCGGAACTTATTAGCACGTGAGGATCATATCTGTGATGAAACAACCCAACGAACATCCTAGAGAGTTTCCCACCGAGATCCAAGGGGTATGCCTCGTATCCTCCTCCTCCTCCTCCTCCTCCTCCTCCTCCTCTTCCTCCTCGGACTGCTCGAGGTCACGTGCGGTACCAACATACACCGGTGCTGTCGCGGCGTTCGGGGACCGTGGGGCGAGAGGCGTCGTGGGTCTCGCTTTCCGCTTCACCCCTGGGGGGGTGACAAAGTCCTGGGGGATCAAGGAGGGATGCATGGGTGGAGAGATGGTGCATCATCGTGTGTAATGTGTGTTTGTGTGTGTGACTGGGTTCATGCTCAGAATGGACGACCTGAAATCTCAAGGAAAACGTGTCTATCGCACCAGCTGATGGTCTTACCTCATCATCGGAGCCTAGTCCGAAATTTGCCAGTGCGGCATCGCTCCTCCTCTTCGGCTTCCTGGGTGGTGTGTGGGGGTTGCCCGTGGTGGCCATGGCTATCCCTGCTGCTATTGTAAGCGTGTACGGGAGATGTACAAGCATGGGGATCACTGAGATCGAAGACGGTACCAAGTACAGCAGAAACCCATGCAATAGGCGTCGGAGAGGATAAACTATGAACCGGCCGCAGAATGGCATAGATGAGCAGTACGGCATCGAAGTCTACGTTCGGTTGGTTGGGCAGCAGTGTGGTCTCTGGTGGCCACAACGTACGAGCTTCGTGATGCACCATGGCAGCGAAGGCTCAATTCAAACAAAAGGTGTGCATCGTGTTATCCAGGAGCGGTCTTCAAAGCCTAAACTTTTAACCTTTTTTTGTTGCTGTGAGTCTTCCTATGCGATCTTGGCTTGGATGCTCTGGTGGAGTAGACGACGAGGAGTGCGTGAGGTGTGAGTACAGTGGTCTCGTGCTCGCTCAACACACAGCAGAGTCGACCCCCACGGGGGACTTCTATTGATATGGAGGCAATTCGATGATGTGAAGAAAAAAAAAAACGCGGCAAAATTAGTAGAGTAAAAACTACCACGGCTGAGAGAGGTAAACGACCGGCGGCATTCATTCATAAACAAATGCGGAGCCAGGTACAGCAAGTAGGTTGTCTTCCGCTTGATAGAACCTCCTCTGTATCAGCTGTGTTCTTGGGGCAGGCAGGACACATCGTCTGGCTGGTTCAAATCGATCGGTTGATTGATACGATGGTCAGCACAGAGCGCGTGAGTAGTGCTGCTGCTGTGAAACGAGTCGTTCGTCTACATCGGTGAAGGTCTATTGTTTGAAATCATCCATACCGTTCATGGCACCGCGTTTTGGTGCGTGAATGGGGATTACTACTCACGAGAGGCATTCTAGCGCTCTCAACAGCTATGTACACACACTGACCTCTCTTTGTGCAGTCGAACGACTATACGAGTGCAATGAGTAGTGAATGTCCTCGTACCGGCTGTTGTAGCAGGTGTTGTGGTCTTATTCTTTTGGTGCAAGCTCAGGATGGTAGACTGCAGAGGCCATTGTTCTATGCGTCGAGATGTCGAATGAAGCGTACCGGTCCAAGCATGATCGACAGGATGACTGCTGTACACACATGCTACAGCATAATAAGCAAAAGTCGTACCATGTATAGGTATAGCAGAAGTACACGGTTCTAGGAATGTGCACGCGTACGCAGTGAGTGTAGGTGGATAGAAGTAACATTAGCTGCTGCTGCTGGCAGCAGATAGCTGCTGTGTGCCTCTCCTTTTTTTTCAAAGACCGTCCGTCCGTCGTGTGGGTGCGACAAAAAATTCACAAGAAAAGGGGCGAGGATGGTGGGTTCAATACCACCCAGCCTAGAGTGGATCGGAGGAGCCGGTAGGAAATGCCTTCCTCCAGGGCACAAGAAAGTGGGGCCGGCGATTCCCGTGAAAGTCTGGCGTCATCAATCAGACCAATCAGACCAATCAGTCAATCACGGGGAATTTGAATTTTTCGAGTTTTCCCGAAAAGGCGACCTCACAACCGTGGCTGACGTCATCGGTCGACCATGGAATTTTCGTCCACAGGAAATTTCCTTTCAAAAAAATTGGCCAATCAGAAAACTGCGGGGACCTTCGAGAGTTTGGTTGTGGGTGTTCGTAGGCGGTGATCGAAGTATTTACTTTTTTGTCTCCAGCAGCATAGTTTTTGTGTTTTTCGGATATTGACGATTCTGGGGTGACGGGTTAAATATTGTGCTTCGTGTGTGGTGAGGTACAGAAACGGAACAGGGTTACTGGAGAAAAACAGCATAACTTCATATTTACTTGCTTTGAGGAAGCCCTTTGTTCTGCTGCTGTGCGAGGACACCTTACAACCGGAAATCTATTCGGAGAAGAAGCTAGAATTTTCTTGCGGGGTCTCCTCCGCTCTACTACTCTGACTGTCTGTTGGAGTGCCCTCAGGAGATCGCTGATATTTTCGATCGATCCATGTGTTGGTGCTTGAGTTGCAGGACTGATGGTGATCTAGCTTGCGATCGATGCTACGTGATGATTCGTATGGACCAGATGCAGTGTGGTAATCCTGACGAAGTACAGCAGTGCGTGACCGAGTAAATGGTTCCACCGAACACCAGAAAAACACCGAAGTACCTACTACCACGAATAATCAAGGGTACCTTATGGATTACAACCGCTGGGCGAAGCGTTTTTCTTTTTTTCTTAAGTTCCATGGAGCGGAGCGGTTTTTTCATTTGAAAAATTCCCGGAGCAGTGCGGAGCGGTTTATTCGAACCAAAGTCCCACGGAGCGGAGCGTTTTTTTTTCATGTCACGGAGCGGAGCGGTGTGTCCGTGGTGCGTGTGTTTTCACGGAGCGGTTTTGTTTACCCCGTTGCATAACCCGCGCGAAACGAAGGCCTTGAGGACGGTTTCCCCTCGAGAAAAACCGCTCCGCTCCGTGACATGATAAAAAAAACGCTCCGTACTTCTCCCTTCTTCCCCTCGCTCCTCGACAAGCTTTTGCTTAGACATGGGTTGTAGTGAAGGGGGGGGTCTTTCTGGCGAGCAGGGCTAGATTCACCCTCAAGGGATGACCGAAACCTTCTTGCTGCTGCGCATATCCGCCGCGAGGCATGCGCGTGGTGGTGTAGTTGGGTCGGCACTGATGGGGTCAGGCGAAAAAATGTAGATGCGCGGGCCTCTGGCCGTCGGCGTAGGCAG